AACCTCGATCATGTCACCTCTCAGCTGTCATTTCTCCAAGCATTTTAACCTTTCTACAAAGGGAAAGGGTTCCAACCCTTTTATCATTCTAGTTGCCCTTTTCTGGCTGCGGTCACACGGAGCATTAGCCACGCTACAGAGACGGAAGATAGGCGGATTTTCCGGGCATGATCACACTGCACCATCTGGGAAGCATAGAGCTCCCGTGGCTAACCCGAGGCTTCCCGCCGAAGATGCGCCGTAAAAAACTAGTACCTCCGAGGTACTAGTTTCTGGAAACCGCGGGGCAAGGGCGGGCGTCTGATCGCGTTTCCGGTGGTAGTTTGTGGCATCCAGCGCCCGCCCATGTCCCGTCACGAAAAGGTTTTTTCCCCCCAAGTCTCCACGGGATGCGCACAAGCACCCAACGGCGCATGCGCACACTTCGGTTAAAAAACCCACAACCCCGTTTGCCGTGGCAGCGGCGCCTAGCCATTGCTGCTGTGATCGCACTGCGCCGCTTCTTTGCCGTGCCACAGGATTGTTGTGTGATCAGCACCTCCCCCCGAAACACAGGACGTTGGCAGGACGTGTGATCTGGCGGCCGCGCGTTAGTTTGCTCCGGGGCAAACAGCCACGCTTCCCCCCCGCATTTTCCGGCCCGTGTGACCGGGGCCTCTGCACTTTTTCCAATGCTATCACAATAAACCATAAGATTTCAGCTGACTCTGCAGACAATGATGGGAAACCAACAGCTGTATATAAACCTCCATTGGCCACACACACAACACGCAGCAGGGGTCCATATCACTCCGACCTCATGGAGAGCCAATGGCCAAAGGAAGCCCCTTGCACCAAAAACCTGGCCTGATTACCCCTGGAAGGGCATATTGCCCACATTGTCTTCTTCTGGGAGCCATTCACAATTATCCTCCACCAGGGCTCCAGATGCAAATGCCCACTCATAAGCCCTCCTCCTCAAACTGGAGGTGCCAGGGGTAGTTGGCTCCAGGGGTCATTTCCTGCAGGAGCGCACAGGAGCGGAGCTCTGGCAGTAAAGAGCCCAGGGGGTGGGCACATGCAACAAGCCCCGCCCCCTGCTCCCAGCAGCCCTCAGTCAGAGCAAGAAGCAGCCAGGTAAGTTGCCGAGCTCCCCCCAGCCCCCTGGTCCAAAACAGTCCAGTGGCACCTTTAAGACCAGGTTTTATTCAGGTACAAGCTCTCCCTCCTCTGCGAGGACAGATCTGCATGTCCCCCCCCCCCAATAGCTAGCAATCCAAAACAGTCCAGTGAAGCCTGAGCGGTGGGTGTTGCCTTCTGACACACTTCCGGTGATGCCAGGGGGTGTGGCACATGCAAATGAGTTGTGCAAATGAGTTGTGCTAATGAGCTCCTGCACCTCTTTTTCTACAAAATGACCCCCGGTTGGCTCTGATGTCTCAGCACGGGATTACGCAATTTTTTCTCCTCTACAATACACAGACTGGCTAAATCGTTGCTTTGCCCTCAACTGCTATCAGAAGGGTCTCTTTTACAGGCAGCTCAAGCGAAGTAAGCCTGCAGTTTGTAGGGAAGACCTGGTGCTGTTAGCCACGAAATGCCACATGCAAGTAAGCTCCAGCTTCGTGCTGCTTCATGTTGCTCCCCAGGGGGAAGTCCACGGTGTGGTCCAGTGTTCCCTCTAAGCTGAGTTAGTGTGAGCTAGCTCACAGTTTTTTAGCCTCTGGCTCACACATTTTTGTCTTGGCTCAGGATGGAGGGCTCCAGAGCACACTAATTGATGCAGCAGCCAAATCGCTTGCTCATGACTTTAATGCCAGTTGCTCACAAAGTAGAATTTTTGCTCACAAGACTCCACAGCTTAGAGGGAGCATTGGTGTGGTCTTGTCTGTTCCTTGCCCAGTGAGCTGTTACTGGTGACCGTACAAAATGCATCCCCCTTCCTTCTCTGAATATCCCTGCGCGTTGTCCTAATGAAGGCCTATTCTTTGTCGGCTGGGTGTGTACCATATAAAAGATATTTTGGGTTGCCAACTCCAGGTTGGGAAATTCCTGGAGGCCCAGTGAAGCCAGGGGAGGGCGGGGTTTGGGGAGGGGCGGGACCCCAACAGGGTGTGATGTCACAGAGCCCATCCTCCAAAACAGCCATCTTCTCCAGGGAAATTGATTTTGGTCACCTGGCAATCAACTGTAATAGTGGGAAACCTCCAGGTACCATCTGGAAGCTGGCAACCCTATCACAGTCTGCCCTCCAACACAGCCACTTTCTTGCAGGAGGACTGATCGCTGTAGGCCAGAGATAATTTGTAATTCCAGGAGATCTCAAGGTTCCACCTGGAGGCTGGCAACCCTACGGACACTGCAGGGATCTCTAGGCTGCGCTGGGTATAGAGTACCAAGGCTGGAAGTGAAGACTGGCCCCAACTCAGAGCCACCTGCCCATAAAACTGGTTGCTGAGGGAGGTCTTCATCTTAACCCTTCTCTGCTATCGGGGGAGACAGAGTGTCACAGCTCTGGAATGTGGAGGGCTGCCCTCCTTTTGCTTCATCAGCCCTCTCTGGCTCACCCACTGTTTGCTATCTTATGCTTGACCTTGTAGATGCTCCAGCTGCAGTTTACTCGGCTGGGAAAGTTAACGGCTTTTTTGCTTTGCCCGCGCGCACGAGATGTATCCATTGGCTCCTGCTTACATGGGGGGGGGGATGTTTGACTTTAGTATAAGTCAGAGGCCCTAGTACTGACGGCCATTCCTGACACAAGCTGTACACGTGTTCTTTAGTACCGGACTCATCAATAAACAATTATCTTCTTATGAAGCCCTGTGTGGTGTGACCTGACTAAGGATCCTGACAGAGAGAGAGACAAGGAGAAGGCTTCCTTAGCGCAAAGTCAGTGACAGGAAACACGATAGTGCCACAAGGAAAGGAGAGCTCAGCTGGGAGGCAACTGGGTGCAAACAGGTTGTGTGTTGCTGTCAGCTATGCTGCCATGGGTTTGGGGAGTTCATTCTGTGTCTGGTTAATTTCTATTGCATTCCTATCCCTGCTGTTCGGCCTTTGCTGAAACGCTTATCTCTACAGATGTGCAGGAGGAGGTTGTGTTGACTGGAGGGCTCCTATGTACCATGAGAGACTCCTGGTTCTCAGCTTTAGCCACCTAACGGTTGCCTGACTTATCCCGCGCGCGGGAGGGTGCCTAATTGGCCAATGCCATGGGGGGGTGCATACGAATACCCTATGTCCTATTATGCTCTAGTGGCTGCGGCCATTCCTAACAGTGCCTGTGTTACTGCATCTATAGCTTTGCAATAAAAGTATAACCGTTCCTCAATGCGTGTACTCCGTTGTTAGCTGTGGGTTCTGACAGTTGTTAGCTTTCCAGGCCTGATTGTAAGTGACTGGGGGGAGGAGAAGGGGGAGGAGGCCGGCGGGCTGAGGAAACTTGCTGAGGGCCCTACAATTAGATCTAGCGCTAATACCTCAGAGGGAATCATCTCTGGACATGTGATGGGCCCCAGGAGATGTCTGGGCAGTGAGGCCGCCTGAATACACATAACACTTGACTCTCAAAGACATACCGGTATTAGGCTGACCCTGCTGGGGCAGGAGGCACAGCAGAGTGCTAGGAAGGGGTCCCAGCTGGAACTGCACATGGGAGTAAGCTAAGCTGTGATATAAGGATGAGGAGACACACTGCAAGAGACACTGGCCAACTTCCCAAGGCTTTTCCCCCCTGGGGTTGCCAGCCGTAGCCTGAGGGATCACTGGAGATTTGAGGGGGTCGATCCTGGGAAAAGCAGAGTCCGGGGAGGGGCAGGGCTGTGGTGCTGCTTTCTGACTTCCGATTAGCGGATTCTTGATTTTATCAGTATTATAATGACCACTGATTAAAATGCAACAAGCTATTTAAATGAGATAATTTTTAAAGAGTCTGTGGGCTGAAAAGTGGGGCAGGAACCGCAAACGAGCAAAGAAGGGCACAAGCAGCCGGAAGCAGTCTTTTCAGCTCGCGCCCTCGTTCCAGGCAATCCTCCCGTATCCGGCTTCTGGGAAAGTGGCTGTCTTTGGCATTCCACCGTCACCCATTCCCTCCTGTACTGGGTGAGCAAGCAACAGCTGGGGCGTGCCCCCTGGGAGAGCGGGGCAGGGGGGGCGCTGCTCCCAGCTGTTCTCTGCCCATGAAGGGGGTGGTGAGGACTGGCAGATGCTGCTGGTGCCTGCCTGAGCAGTGGCGGCGGCGGAGGAGCTGGCACTGCTCAAGGGGGTGAATGGCTGCTGCTAGCAGAGAATGCTGATACCTGCCCTGGAAGAGCTGCCACTGATACCTGCCCTGGAAGAGCCTGCCCTTCACTGGCAGCCTCTCTCCTCTCCCCCTAGCATCACACCAAGGAGAGGGGCACGGCTTGTGGGGCAGTCTCTAGAGGGGACCCAATCCTTGCTGCTGCTCAGAGGAAGAAGGGCTGGGAAGCGCTCGTTTCTAGAGCTGGGTGGTAGAAGAGGAAGGTTGCCAGGAGTCTGCAGTGGGCTCAGCCTTGGCACTGGGACCCTTAGCTGCTGCTTGATCATGCCAATCCCTGATTTGATTGATTGGATTTATTAAATTTCTATTCCGCCCTTTCAGCCTCGGCTGATGCTGGCCCTGACTGCAAAGAAGCCTGGACCGATTTCACACAAGAGCTGTGCCGTGGTCGCGCCTCCCTTTGCCCCGCTTCTATTGGTCAATTTCCCACTCGAAGCCGCGCGGCCGCATTTTGACCTGCAGCTTCACCCAATTTTCCCCGCGGTTTCGTGATCCTCAAAAAACAGGATCATGAAACCGCAGGGAAAATCGGACGAAGCCGCGGGTTAAAATGAAATATGCGCAAGGAGTCTTTCGAGGAAGCTTGTTCCCTAAGCTTCTCAAGGAGCCCCTAATAAGCATCCAAGGAACCCATTTCCAAGAAGCACAGCTGGACAACCACTGGGACAACCCCTGCACCCACCCCATCCTTCGTCTCTCCTCGCAGGGATCCAGGACTTACCTTGGTGTCTTCAGCTGTCTCTTCTCCTGTGTCTGTTTCATCATAAAGGTCCGACTCTTCCGAGGCTATTGGGACGTGGATGGTCAGGCTGGGATTGTTAATGAAGTTCATGTGATCCAGCTCATCAATGAATGGCGCTCTTTTGGCCATTCTATCCAAGTAGTTCGGTTTGGAGCCCTGGCTGATGTCAAGCTGATTAATGACCGGCTGCTTGTCGGCTATGCCGTTGATGTAATCCGACTTGGAGTCCTGGCCCACATCCACGTGGTGCAGCCCATCAATGGCCAACTCTTTCTTGGCTATGCCGTCCACGTAATTCGATTTGGAGTCCTGACCTGTGTCCATGTGGTTGAGGACAAAATTCTCCTTCTTGCTGTCATCCTCTGCCTTGGTTGGTGTTTCCTTTTTCCCCTTCCAGACCTGGTGAAGTAGCCAGAGCACTTGCTTCTTGACAAAGTCGATCCCCCGTGTAATCCTGCCAATCGCGATCTGCAAATTATTCACCTCGCCATCATCGTCAGAGCCCGCCAGGCTATCGGCACTGAAGGAACTGAGCAGCAAGGCCAAGAACAGGTTGAGAACCTGCAAGGGGTGGGGGACACAAAAGAGACACTGCCTTAAAAATCGGAATGGCGCTCCCCAAGGGTCATTTCCTAGAAAAAGAGGTTCCAGGAGCTCATTTGCATAACTCAATTGCATATGCCACACCCCCTGACAAAGGTCAGGCATTTAAATCCCCCCCCCTCGCAAAAGTGGAGAGGATCCGGGGGAAAGGCAGGCATCTCTGCCTCCCTACGCTCCCCGTCTCCAGCCAGCCCATTGCAGGGAGGCAGGCATGCCTGGGTTCCCTGCCCGATCTTCTCCAGGTGCCCCGCCCTCGCTGAGTATCTCCACGGGGCAGGGCAGGGCCTGGACTCCTTCCTGCCGGAGCAGTGCTCCAGGGCGCTCCGGCAGGAAATGACCCCTGGTGCTCCCACAGAAACCAGTACTTTGGTTTGTTTTTTTAAAAAGATCTTGTGGTAATCATCTCAAAGAGAAGCCACCAAGGACAGAGTAATAGGAAACATGCAGAACAAGACTCGAGGAGTAAAACAACATTTTCCAGGATACAAGCCAGGCTGCGTGAACCATGTGCTAAAAAAATTATACTGAAACTTTTGAATCAATCCAAACTTTTCCCCTAGGAAAATCTGTATATAACATGCAAAAGAGAATGCATTTGTTTATTTTGCAACTATTATTCTGTTCCTAGAAATGGTGTTCCCATCTCAGACCCCTGAGTTTTGTCCAGGTTCTTCATGACAGCTATAAGGGCTAGAAATGTTTGGTCTTCTAAAAAACAAGGCAAACGGACTTTCTCAGGATGGTGGACCCTGAACTTTAATGACACATGTGGCTGTTCTCTTATTTATTCTGAACTTTAATTTAATTCCCATCTGTCTGCTAGAGGCTCTCAGACAGCTACCCATCCCTAAACACATATAGGTAAGGTAAAGGTTTCCCTTGCTCAAAAGCCAGTCGAATCCGACTCTAGGGTTGCGGTGCTCATCTCCGTTTCCAAGCCGAAGAGCCAGCGCTGTCCTAAGACATTTCCATGGTCATGTGGCCGGTATGACTACATGCCGAGGTGCACGGAATGCTGTTACCTTCCCACCAAAGTGGTACCTATCTATCTACTTGCAATTTCTTGCTTTCAAACTGCTAGGTTGGCAGGAGCTGGAACCAAAGACGGGAGTTCACTCTGTCCCGCAGCACTTGGGTCTCGAACTGCTGAACTACCGACCTTCCACAGCCTGCAGTTCAGCGTCTTAACCACTTGAGCCACTGCTGCTCAGTGGAGGGGGGGAATCAGAGGGACCGTTGGTCACCCTAAGTCAACTGTGACTTGACAGCAAAAAAGAAAAAAAAAGAAGCCGATTCTGCACAGACAAAGAGACTCCCTTTATACAATGCACGCCCGAGTGGCAATGGCCACTGGCCTGGATGGTATCGTATCCTGGCACAAATGCATGGCAAACAAAAGACTCTTGGGCACGACAGCTAAATGCATCCTCCACACTGCTGGCGAGGCAAGGCGTGGGAGCGTGCTCCGCCCTCCTGTTGGCAATGGGATGTGGACCGGCTGCCCCACGGCCTGACCCAGCGACGCACGTTCTTGTGCTAGAGGTCGGCTGCAGGCTCCTGCTCCAACCCACCCACCAAAGACCCCTCCCTCTGCTTGCCCCCGTCACTGTCCCTGTAGGCACCGCTGGGTCTGCCATGTACAGTAACATCAGCAAGAAAGTGGAATGTGTTTTGCTGCAAGGAGCCCGGGGCCTGCCCACCCCCTGTCAGTATTCGTGCCTCTCCCCTGCCAGGAGTGCATTTGAGATGGGCCTTTGCTAGTATTCAAGGTCACGGCTGCTTGCACATGGCTCATGCCTCATGACTTAACTCGGACCTTTATATAACACTCCTTTTGCTTTCCTCACAACTCTCGGACGCTCCTCTTCCGCACCAGCCCCAGCCATTTGCTGCCGCCGCCACCTGTAACCCTAAAGGCTGCTCCAGTTAGTTCTTTCCTCGGCCAAGTTCCGCACCTTTCCCCTTAATAGCTTGCTGCGGAAATGCCAAAAGGAACACGAATAGGGAAACGACAGCTGGATCCGCAACACCGCAAATATGTCAAGCCTTGAGCAATGTTCCCTCTAAGCTGTGGAGTCTTGTGAGCAAAAAAATTCTACTTTGTGAGCGACTGGCATTAAAGTGGCGAGCGAGCGATTGGGCTGCTGCATAAATTAGTTTGCTCTGGAGCCGTCCCTTCCTGAGACAAGGCAAAAATGTGTGAGCCGGAGGCTAAAAAACCTGTGAGCTGGCTCACACTAACTCAGCTTAGGGTGAACACTGGTCTTGAGGCCAGAGAGTACAATATTTCAAAAATGGCTGGGGAGGGGCTTGGGAGGGGCTGGAAGGCACCCTCCTTTCCCCAGCACGGCTTGACCAGCCCCTTCCCAGCGTCTCATTAGCAGCACTGTCCACACAGGCATACAGAAGGGACAGCACGACTCACATGCCTTTGGCAGAGGAGGAGGGGGAAAGCGTTCCACACATGGGCACATGGGACCTCCCTGTCTTTTGGCTATAATGGCCCTTTGGGTATACATCTACCCAGGGGTCATTTCGTAGAAAAAGAGGTGCAGTAGCTCATTAGCATAACTCATTAGCATAACTCATTTGCATATGCCACACACCCCGACATCACTGGAAGTGTGTCAGAAGGCCAACACCCACCGCTCAGGCTACACTGGACTCTTTTGGATTGCTAGCTATCGAGGGGGGGGGGGCGTGCAGATCTGTCCTCACAGAGGAGGGAGAGCTTGCACCTGAATAAAACTTGGTCTTTAAGGTGCCACTGGACGACTGTTTTGGATTGCTAGCTATGGGGGGGGGGAATGCGCAGATCTGCTCTCACAGTGGAGGGAGAGCTTGTACCTGAAGGCGGGCCGGGGAGGGCTCTGCAACTTACTTGGCTGCTTCTTGCTCCTCGTGGCCTGACTGAGGGCTGCTGGGAGCAGGGGGCGGGGCTTGTTGCATGTGCCCGCCCCCTGGGCTCCTTACTGCCGGAGCTTCGCTCCTGTGCGCTCCCATAGGAAATGACCCCTGCATCTACCCCTTAAAATACAGGAACATCAGAACATAAGAGAAGCCAGTGTTGGATCAGGCCAATGGCCCATCCAGTCCAACGCTCCGTGTCACACAGTGGCCAGAAATACCAGGTGCCAGCAGTGGGGCCAGGACACGAGAAGCCTTCCCACTGATGACTCCCCCATCCCCAGCACCAAGAAGAGAGAGCATCCCTTGCCCCAGACTGAGAGTTCCTATCATAAGAACATAAGAGAAGCCATGTTGGATCAGGCCAATGGCCCATCCAGGCCAACACTCCGTGTCACACAGTGGCCAAAAATACCAGGTGCCAGCAGGAGGTCCAGCAGTGGGGCCAGGAGACTAGAAGCCCTCCCACTGTTGCAAAGCACCAAGAAGAGAAGAAGAGGAGATTGGATTTATATCCCACCCTTCACTACCCAAAGGAGTCTCAGAGCGGCTTACAAACTCCTCTCCCTTCCCCTCCCCACAACAGACACCCTGGGAGGTAGGCGGGGCTGAGAGGGCTCTGGACAGAAACTGCTCTTTCTCAAGGACAGCGCTTATCAGAACTACGGCTTGCCCAAGGTCATCCAGCCAGGTGCAAGTGGAGGAGTGGGGAATCAAACCCGGTTCTCCCAGATTAGAGTCCGCGCACTTAACCATGGCACCAAACTGGCTCTAAGTGTCATGTCTATGTGGTCAGCCCTGTTGCTACGGTCACACCATCAGTGGGCAACCATGGCCTTCGAAGAAGTGGAGGAGGAGGGGGGGAGGGGGAAGAGTTGGTTTTATACCCCGCTTTTCTCTACCCGAAGGTGTCTCAAAGCAGCTTCCAATCGCCTTCCTTTACTCTCCCCACAACAGACTCCTGTGAGGAAGGTGGGGCTGAGAGAGCCCTGAGAGAACTGTGACTGGCCCAAGGTCACCCTTGTAGTGGTTAAATGCGCGGACTCTAATCTGGGAGAGCTGGGTTTGATTCCCCACTCCTCCACTTGCACCTGGCTGGATGACCTTGGGCAAGCCGTAGTTCTGATAAGAGCTGTTATTTTTACACCTCTAACAGTTTCCTGACACTTCTTTATAGCAGAGGTAGCTGAAGATTTTCATGATACTATCCAAGGCAGCATTCAGAGTGCTTAAGGACTTCCCCTCCAATACTTTTTATCGTAAATAGGTTTTTTTAAATCTTAGAGGTTTCTACTAGTGCCTCTAATTTTTTCTTTTCCATTGTCAATTTATGATATATCTTTCCCCCTACATATTGTTTGTTTTTCTTTTTGAGCTCTTTTATTTTGCTTTTTAGGTCCTGTGTAATTTTTCCCTGTCCTTTTTATAGGCTGATGGCAGAGAAATAAGTTTCCCATGTAAGACTGCTTTCATCACATACCATATCATCTCTCAAGAAACTCCACAATTTGAATTCAGTGAGAAATAATTGCTTATTTCCATTGTGATTTCTTTATGTATTATTCGGTCTAATAAATGTAATTTAAGTTCCAATAGGATTCTTTGCCATCTGTTCTTTATATAGTACAAAACATTAAGCCCATGCGTGCCCTGACCATATTTTGGGTCCTATTTCAGCTGCATGGATTTGGTTAAACAATTTTCTGGAGGCTAGTATATAGTCTGTACAAGCACAGATTTTATGTACAGCTGAAAAATAAGTATAATCTTTCCAACTCGGGAGCCAGCCGGAACTCCGTTCCTGTGCGTTCCTGCCCCAAAAGAGCCCTGGGTATAACCAGGCAAACTGGCACACTTCTCTGCACCAGGAACTACATATGTGGGAAATGCCATGTCTGGTTAGGCCTTGGGTTAGGTCTTCTCAGACATCTGGGGAGAAAGAAGCAGGGCCCTCTAGGATCCAGGAAGGGCTTGCTTCTTCTCTAGGTTCCTAGAAGGGCTGAAGTGCCAAGAGAATACAGCTAAAGACTCATACTGAGCGTCACCCAGTCCCGAACAAACTGTGGATCAGATGGGCGGGTCTGCTCTTCCTCGCTGGACCTCTGTGAAGCACTGTGGACCTCCCGTCAGAAACCAGAAGTGCCCGCTGTGCCGAGACCAGGGTGTTGCTTTGGGCTCTTACTGCAGTATGAATGGGAATATAAAGACTTTTATATATAGGGGTTTTTTCTTCTTGATCGTTCATGTTCATATTTCTCTGTTTTTACAGATTTGTTCTTTAAATAATATTTTATTAGGATGTTAGAAAGGCCTGTTATATGAAAATATAACTGAAAATGTCGAGACAGTGTGTGACTGCAATGAAGAAGGCCAATGCTATGCTGGGGATTATTAGGAAGGGTATTGAGAACAGATCAGCCAATATCGTAATGCCCCTCTATAAATCAATGGTGCAACCTCATTTGGTATACTGTGTGCAGTTCTGGTCACCACACCTTAAAAAGGATATTATCGCTTTGGGAAAAGTGCAGAAAAGGGCAACTCGCATGATAAAAGGGTTGGAACACTTTCCCTATGAGGAAAGGTTAAGGCGCTTAGGGCTCTTTAGCTTGGAGAAACGACGACTGAGGGGAGACATGATTGAGGCTTATAAGATTATGCATGGCATAGAGCAAGTGGAGAAAGAGGTACTTTTCTCCCTTTCTCACAATACAAGAACTCGTGGGCACTCCATGAAATTGCTGGACGGTCGGGTTAGAACGGATAAGAGGAAGTACTTCTTCACCCAAAGAGTGATTAATACTTGGAATTCACTGCCATAGGAAGTGGTGGCGGCTACAAGCATGGACGGCTTCAAAAGGGAATTAGATACGCATATGGAGCAGAGGTCCATCAGTGGCTATTAGCCACAAGGGGCAAGTGATGCTCTGTCATCTTGGTGCTTGGGGGGGGGTCAACAGTGGGAGTGCTTCTAATGTCCTGGCCCCACTGGTGGACCTCCTGATGGCACTGGTATTTCTGGCCACTGTGTGATACAGAGTGTTGGACTGGATGGGCCTTTGGCCTGATCCAACATTGGCATCTCTTATGTTCTTATAGAAGGCTTTCCCTCTTGTAGGTCTGATATTGTTAGCAGACAACATAATCAGTACAAAGTTCATGATTCTGTAGTTCTTAGGGCAAACCTTTCAATGTCTGGGTCAGATAAGATTTTAGTCTGATATGAAGAATCCTTGCCCATTATCATTTAGGTTAGGTTAAGTAAACACTTAGTTTGACGTAGATATATGTTTCTTTATATCTGGCCAATCAGAGGATTATTACTCAAATTACCACTGTCTTTTGTAACCAATTATGCTGTTTGAATATTGTTTTCTTGATGATGTCAGTCCATGTATAAGATATCATGTATTTCCTGAATATGTTCAGAATATGCTCAAGAAGAAGATGAAGAACAAAAAGAAGAAAGTTGTCGATTTTTGGTTAACTATTTGGTCTAATTGTTTTCCTGTTAATTGAGGCACTTTTCCTGAATATGCTGAAGAGAAAGCAGTCAGTTTTGATGGGTCCTTTGGCCTAACTGCTTTCCGTATTTCATTGCAATAAAATACAAGAACCTCCTCCTCATTTGACTTCATTTTTGACATGGAATCTAATATGTACAACATTACCACCACCATATCCCCTTGCTGGGGAAAGCGACTCACCACCAGGTTCCCGATAACCATGACCATCATGAAGACGATGAGGCACAAGGCCTGTCCCGCCACCTCCATGCAGTCCCACATGGTCTCGATCCACTCCCCGCAAAGGATGCGGAAGACGATGAGGAAGGAGTGGAAGAAGTCGTGCATGTGCCAGCGCGGCAGCTCGCAGTCGGCGGAGATCTTGCAGACGCACTCCTTGTAGCTCTTCCCAAACAGCTGCATGCCCACCACGGCAAAGATGAACACGATGATGGCCAGCACTAAGGTCAGGTTGCCCAGGGCGCCCACCGAGTTGCCGATGATTTTGATCAGCATGTTGAGGGTCGGCCAGGATTTGGCGAGCTTGAACACTCTCATCTGGGGAAGGAAGAGGGAGCCTGGTTAGCAGTGTTCCCTCTAAGCTGAGTTAGTGTGAGCTAGCTCACAGTTTTTTAGCCTCTGGCTCACACATTTTTGTCATAGCTCAGGAAGGATGGCCCCAGAGCAAACTAAATTTATGCAGTAGCTGAATTGCTCGCTCACAACTCTAATGCCAGTAGCTCAGAAAATAGAATTTTTGCTCACAAGACTCCACAGTTTAGAGGGAACATTGCTGGTTAGCCTGTGGAACTCTCTGCCACCAGCTAGAGCAGGGGTGTAAAACATGTGGCCCGCATCACCTACGTCCAGATCCTTTTAACTGGGGATGCCGGGGATTGAACCTGGGATCTTCTGCATGCCCAGCAGGTCCTCTGCCACTGAGCCACGGCCTCTCCTCTTTAAAACACTAACGGCGTGTGGATCCCAGGTTCAGTTTAGCAAAACCGAGCAGGGGCTGAAGGGTTGCATGCCCCCTCTCTCACCATCCCTGAGTGGCTGCAAACACAAGCGCAATTTGCCTTTTGTAAATGGGATGAGATCCAAGATCTTCCATCACATCTGTTTGTGCCATTAGGAAGTCAAATGTGTAGACCAGTTCTACAACTATGTCCATCCCCAGTGCCTGGCATGGCACCTGCTTACCTACTGCCCCCAGGGCACTGGTAGAGTAGGCACACATCCAGGAGGTTCTCAGACCCTCCCTGGCCTTGGGCAGCCTCCTGCAGACCACGTGCTCTACAGTATTCAGGGAAGTTCTGGGGTGTCTTCCCACTTTGGCTTGACTGTACCTGGGGTGTGGGAGGAGGGTGAGATCTTGGCCTGGCTCTGGTGCTATGTAATGTATCCAGTCCAGACCGCGTGGCCGGCTTGGGCTCCACGCGGTCAGGCACAAACATCGAGCTTCGCGCCAAGAGCCAAGGGACTATGCGGATCTTAGCCCGCTCCAATCAGGGAGCTAGGTTCCCGGCCGAGAGCCTATGGGACTCTTGGCCACTGTAAATAACCTATTAGGTAGTAGGGGTGTGTTTTGGGTGGCGGTTTCTCGGGGGATATAAGCCGGCCGGCGAGCCGGGCAAAGTCGTCTTGTTCCTGATCGAATAAAGTACGCTTTGCGGAAATCACTCTGCATACTTTTCATGCTAGTAGCAAAACACAGGTTCTTGGCAAAAGGCTTATGTTGACAGAGTGGAGTCAACTTACCAGCCGAAAGGAGCGGAGCACGGACAGCCCCTGGACGTTGGCGAGGCCAAGCTCCACCAAGCTCAGGGTGACGATGATACTGTCGAAAATGTTCCATCCCACCTGGAAGTAGTCATAGGGGTCCAGAGCAATCAGTTTGAGCACCATCTCAGCTGTGAATATTCCAGTGAAGACCTATGGAAAGAAGAGTGTTAAGGAAACAGCAGAAACTAAGCTGAAACGAACCAAGAAATGGCATAAGGAAATATCTCGAAGCACAGTGCTCCTTGCATACATTGCCTTGCGTACATTCAAAGTTATGTTTTTTCTCAGTTTGTTTTCTTTCACAAGATTTACAATTATGGATACTGTTGAATTAGTGATATTTATTTCTTTGTTCAATTGATTCTGCTTTGATGGCAGGCTAGCAAAATTCACCCCCTTCTCTTAAGAATGCTTCGGTGCCCTTAAATTTTCTTAAGAAAAGGTTGGTGATCTTTGCTTACCTCCGCAGACCCCTCTAAGTTGTTTCTGAACTAAAACCTCTGGAGCAAAATTTCAGAGGGTTAAGTGGACTGGAACAGGAGGGAGGAAGCGGTGAAATTTACCACTCCTTACAAAAAACTTAAGGGCAACTTAAGTTTTCTTATCTGCATGGTTGGATACACACACACACACACACACACACACCTGTCTGGGAGATGGGGTGAACATAAGAACATAAGAGACGTCAATGTTGGATCAGGCCAAAGGCTCATCCAGTCCAACACTCTGGGTCACACAGTGGCCAGAAATACCAGGTGCCATCAGGAGGTCCACCAGTGGGGCCAGGACATTAGAAGCCCTCCCTCTGTTGACCCCCCCCCAAGAACCAAGAAGACAGAGCATCCCTTGCCCCAGACTGAGAATTCCTATCTATACCTTGTGGCTAATAGCCACTGATGGACCTCTGCTCCATATGCTTATCTAATTCCCTCTTGAAGCCGTCCATGCTTGTAGCCGCCACCACCTCCTGTGGCAGTGAATTCCATGTGTTCATCACTCTTTGGGTGAAGAAGTACTTCCTTTTATCCGTTCTAACCCGACCGCTCAGCAATTTCACTGAGTGGGTTTTTAATGTTTCTGTTTTAATGACTTTGTCTTTAATGCTCGTGTTTTACTGGTTTGGTTTCGTCAGTTGCGAGTCACCACCAGCAGATCTCTGGATGGGCGGCATATATTTTAAAACCAATGAATCAATTCATCCTCCTCCCTGATGCAGAGAACCACAGAAGTAGCACAAGGGAGTGTGTGCAGAGCATTTGCACCTGAATGCACAGGACCAGCATCCTAGGTCTAGTTGGCTGACTGCCCTGGAACTTGAAAAGGAGAAAAGCTAGATCTGAGTCCAGTAACATCATGGTGACAGATACCAATAGAACAATGTCTAAGTCCAGGGGCACCTTTAAGACCAACCAAGTTTAATTCTGGGTATACACCACTTGAGCTGCGGTGGATCAAGTGGTTAAGACGCTGAACTGCAGGCTGTGGAAGGTCAGTAGTTCAGCAGTTCGAGACCCGAGTGTGCCGCATGACGGAGTGAGCTCCCGTCTCTCGTTCCAGCTCCTGCCAACCTAGCAGTTCGAAAGCAAGAAATTGCAAGTAGATAAATAGGTACCACTTTGGTGGGAAGGGAACAGCGTTCCGTGCGCCTTGGTGTTGAGTCATGCCGGCCACAGGACCACGGAAACGTCTTCGGACAGTGCTGGCTCTTCGGCTTGGAAACGGAGATGAGCACCGCAACCCTAGAGTCGGACTCGACTGGCTTTCGAGCAAGGGAAACCTTTACCTTTACTTTATACACACAAAAGCTTAGACCCAGAATTCAACTTTATCGATCTTCAAGGTACCCCCAGACTCCAACTTTGTCCTGTTGCTTCAGATCAACACAGCTGCCCAACCTGAATCAAAATACCAATAGGTGTCTGACAAAGAGAGCTTCCACTCCCAAAAGTCCATACCCCAGGAATCCTGCTGGTCTCTAAGGTGCTCAAACTGAGCCGTTCTTCAGTAGACCAGGACAACTCACCCACCTGAAAATACCCAAGAGGAGGAAGTGTTGGATGGTTATGGACTGAACTACACGTGGTGTGTCCAACTCTGAGTTGGGAAATCCCTGGAGATCTTATTGAGATATATGTCAGAGTGATATGAGGTAGCAAGCAGTTACTATAGATCAGTTTGATCTGTTTGTCAGACCTAGCTGTCAAGCTAGTAATCATGTAATTACAGCCAGGTGTTTTCTAGCAGGTGTTGCTCTTACAGGTCTTGTTAGAGTTAGTGATTACATCACCTCGTTAGAAATTGGCTGGGGTTGAGTATAATAGCTATCTGTTTAGTAAGCTAATGGGGACTTAGTTCTCATAGCCTAAGGCACGACATGCTGTTCAATAGCCTGTAAATATCTCTGTATATATTCACCTTTATAACTATATAAATTCTCTGTGCACCTTCATAACTGGTCAGTCTCCCACTTCTTATTTAAAACACCCAATGGATCTGGGGGTGTGGGGGGCCAGGTTGGAAGAAAAATGTGAAAAATTTTAAAGGGGGGGTTTAAATACCCCCCCCCCAGACAGAGGAATACATTGTCTGTGCAAGCTCAGACAAGCAAAGGGGAGGATGAACCTTAGCGCCCCCCCCCCCCCCAAGGGGGCAGTGGCACTGCGGGTAGACGTGAAGCAACACGAGCCACCACTGCCCCCCTTCAGCTGGCCATGAGAGCGGGTGGGGGAGCAGGAGCCGCTGCGGTTTGCATCACCACTAGGCCTAGAGTAGTGCGGCCCACAGGCTCTAGGGAGGCCTAGCGACTCCAGGGAAGCCTGTACTAGAGTTAGGGTTGCCAAGTACGTACCTTGGAAGAAAAAGAGATCAAGACAAGGTGTGTGGAAAAGTAGGAGTGAAAAGACAACCAGGAACATAACTATGTGGAACTATAGGAAAGAAAGCTTTGAAACAAGAACATATATAGGGGGGGGGGGGGAGCTACGTGGATTTGTTGAGGCAAAAGAAAAAGAAAAAAAGAGAGCAAGACGAGGTGCGTGGAAAGGCAAGATCAAGAATGCAGCTTGGGACACAATTAGGTGGAAGAATAGAAGAAGCAGCTTGGAAATAAAATCTCACGCATGTAAAGAAAAAAGCCATGTGGACTCATTGAGGCAGAAAAATAAACTTCAGATTCATAGGAAAAAAATTAAGATGTATGAAGGCTAATGGGTGTTGTAGAATAGTGGATCTACCGGTAAAATGAATTGATGGTCTTGTTGAATTTTAATAGTGATGAATTTGCTTTTAAGAATAATCATGTATTTATGTGAGATGGGTATACTGGTAGTACAAAATATGAGAAGCAATTTTCCATTGATTGGGGATAAGAAAATAAGGATTGGGGTTAAAACAGTTTTGAGGACTTTTATAGGAAATATGAATTTATGGCCTCCATTGTACAATAACTTGGATGAATTTGTTTAAGTATTTCAGTTAGGTAGGTGATTGATATATGTAGTAAGTTTGTTTCTCCCTTACACTAGTATTTATTTATCGGTTATATAGGGGGTTTAATTAGGGTTGTAGATGGTTGATTTGTAATAGGGATTTTTGTTAAAGAAGAATTTATGGCTCTTGTCGTAATTGGATATAGATAAATGGGTTTATATGATTAGTTAATTAGTTAGTAATATTTGAGGGGTGTAAGGTATTTTTGGGATGAAAATTAAATGACTAAATGGTTTGTTAAAAATGGGAAGAAATGTGTTTTATATGTTTATATATTTAACTATTTATTTATGTAGCTATGTGGGTATGGCGGCTATAAGGTACTTGATACAAAAAGACAGATATTGCTGTGTATGTTCATCAAATTTTCAATTTTCCAAGTTGTATTTTGTTTTTCAGATACATCAAACAACTCAATAAGAACAAAGTCTTCAGAAGAGAAGAAGAAGAAGGACGGACCTTCCTGGGCTTTCTGTAGTCCGTTTCGAACAATATCTTTCTCAGATGTCCTATAGAACAATAAATATGAGGGGTAACAACTCCATAAACACAATTCCTCAATTTGCTAATTTAACAATAAAGATGAATAATTATACATACAATTCATGTTGTCTATAGTGTTCTTACAATTCCAATCTTGACTGTATATGTGGTGTTTACAAAAGTTCTAGAAATATAAATACCCCAATAAATAAATTAAAACACAGAAATCCAAATGAAGTCCAAAATGAACATACAGAAACTCAGTCGATGCCGAAATGAAGAATGTAGCACAACACGGTGTCTGCAATGTCCGGTTTCCCAGCCGCTTTGGGCCCGGCAGCTGTGATATGTTTATGCTTCACACGTTTGCTGTAGGATAATAAACGTCTAACGGGGAACTCCCATCTCCCATATTCTACAGCAAATTGAGAGACTTCTGTTCTAGATTTGCTTTTGATAAAAGCACTAAGTGATACACGGTGATCCAAGCCGGCAAACGCAGGAAGCATAAACATAGCTCCTGGAAGCTAAACACATCACAGCTGCCGGGCCCAGAGCAGCTGGGAAACGGTCTGTTATGGACATCATGTTGTGCTACATTCTTCATTTCAGCATTGACTGAGTTTAAGAACATAAGAGAACATAAGAGAGATGCCAGTGTTGGATAAGGCCAATGGCCCATCCAGTCCAACGATCCTTTATAATTTCTTCGGCTATAAGGTACTTTACAGATGAAATAGGGAATATAATGTAAAGAAAATGCCTGGGTATTTATTTAGTAGATAGCAGTATAAAAGACGGTAATAAGGAAAGGGGGGTGTAGTCTGATAATTATTAAGGGGAAAATGTGAGACCTTATGTAGAGAATTTAAAGTCTATAGAGAATGGGTAAATTAAATAGTATAAAAAGCAAGTTAAAACTTAATGTGATAACAGCTTTAGGAAGGCGTGCATATAGTGGTGATTTGTGTCCATAGCCTCTATGATTAAGAAAGTAATATGTATGATGGTATAATAACAGTACTGTGTAGGATATATCTGTATCCATATTGTTTTGTGGGGGGTTGTTTTGGAATGTATGTAGTGTGTGTGTGGCATATTGAAAACCCAATAAATAAATTAAAACAAGAGAGTCCCTTGGACTGCAAGAAGATCAAATCAGTCAATCCTAAAAGAAA